TTAATTATTTAATGGTGTACTTAATTAATGCATTATGGCAGTCCTGGCACTCCATAAATAGAGTTCAGCCTGTATAAAAGATTAACGTTGGCTGTATGCTTTTTTTTTTTTTTTTTTTTTAAAGGAGCAATAATTTAGAATTGACATTTAGCTAATAAGAATTGTACAAACTGATTTTGACCTTTTTGCCACACCAAATGATCCCTATGAGTGCCAACTTTTAATCACAGACATTATTAGATGATGATAAAATGGTGATTTCTTTAAAGAACATCAAAATATTTTCAACCAAAACTCGAAACATAACCTAGTCCATAAGCATACTATGGAGGCAAAAAAAAGGAGGAGAAACAGATTTTAATCCCGACAAAGCTCGGTAAGTCATTAGGTTTTTTTCTCAATCACTTTGGTGCAATTCTCACAGCAGAAAAGTCATTCTCATTCTTAATGCAGATCTAAAAAAAATTAGGCATTTGTCTGTGTCTGTGGAAAAGACGCTAAAACAATCAGAACCTTTTTCTCATATGTCGATAAATGAAAAGTCAACCGATCACTTCAGCACTGTCATCAATGAATAAAAACCTTTCACCGGCGTTTTGAGATTATTCCTCTATTATTGTAGAGGTTTCCTTCTGAATGTCAGGGGATGTCTGACAATGTAACCTATGACCCTTAACCTTCTGACACATTGCTGGACAAACAGGACCTTTTTTATATTCTGTCTGACTTTACCCTATTTACAATTTCTTTTTCATACAGGGATCTTGGAGAACATGGGTTTCTGATTGAAGGCAGCCTGACAACTAGCAAAAAAGAAGCTGTGTCTGAGTCAATACCATACAAATATCTTGTGTACAAGAATAAGAAACTGGAATATGAGTATGAATACATATACAAATTGGATTCTTCACACCACACTACCAACAGATGTTTGTTTGTGAAACCCAACCTTATCAATGAAGATGGTAATTATTTTCATGCAATCAAGGTGTCATTGTACTGATTTTTCATTTGCTGATTGTATTAACATATTTTCCTTTGTTTCCATTTGAGTAAATTTGTGTTGTATCCTTTTTTTTTTCATAAGGTGACTGGCATCAGTATGATGACATCATCTGTGCTGAGCCCTCAAAAAATATGCTCAAACGCATTTCCGCACTCTGGTCAGACCAGAGAACAAAACTGATTCAAGGCAGAGAAATCGCAGGAAACATAATGCTGGAGACCATATTTGACCTTCTGAGTAGCTGGAGTGCTACCAATTTGAGAAGTTTCCTGCTCCAACTGAATCAGTTCATGCAGGTTTATGGGGAACCTTTTGTGTATGAAGAAAAAGAAAAGAAATGGTCCTCCCTAAACTATGGCAAAGAAGATGTAAGTTTACAATCTTTGTGTGCAAAGACCAGACACTTTAATGTATGGTTGACTCAACTTGACTGTCTGTATTTCTACTACTAAACTTAGGTGAAAATGATGGTTAAAGGATTCATGCTGTCATATGTAATTCCACAACTCCTTAAAGATGGCAATCGTAAGAGTCTCTACATTGAGGACCCTTTAAGAGCAGCTGTGATCACACTTCACGTATGGACTCAACATCACATCAGTTTGGCGAATTCTGAGCTCCATCAGCTTTGTACTGCGCTGTGTTTACCCAAACTAGAGAAGGATACCTTTCTTCAGTACTGGGCAGAATTTTCTCAAGATGTGTCTATTCTCAGGTGGTTACCTAATCTTTTCAATAATCCCGGTATCATACACTCTAGTGCCTTAAGGCTATTAATTTTATTGTTTGTATTTGTCCTAATAATACAATTTCTCTTCAAATAATTCATCTTATAGTTTGCCAGAAACATTAGTGAGTCTGATAAACACTGTGAAAAGAATGGGAATGACTCGATGGATTATGGTACTGCCACTTCTCCACCTCATTAAAGGCACTACAACGCCTTTTCAAGCACCAGCATCTGGAAACATGAAGTATGGCCCATCTTGGGCAGGTTTGCAAGGGCTTGATATAGGCACCACAGCATACATAAGCAACATGAGCAGTCAAGACAAGAGGTAAGAGTCCCCATTCCTTTGCCAACAAATTACATTGTTTGCGCAGACATCTGCCAGCATATTTTTAAGAATTTAAAAAAAGTTAATTTATACTTTTTGATTGGCTTTTTTTTTTTCAGATCACTAATAAATGTGATGAAAAGCTGCAGTCACTTAATGGAGGTTGATGCACTTTCACTTCGATCTTGCTTGTACCTGATGTCACTCAGTGAACTGACTGAGTGTAGCACTGAACTTAAAGCTGAGCTTTTGGACATGCTTCATGCTTTTTTTATTAAGGCTCCTCAGGAAGTCACTGCCAGCAACATGCAGGTAAATGCAAACAGAAGAAAATCCATACTACCATTTCTAGATGTGTGCTAAGTGATTTAAATGTATCTATTTATGGACCATACAAATTAACATGCATTTTTAAAAAAAAATTGCAGCTTCATTTGAAATTGGAAATATCTGCATTATACATATACATGATTTCTATTTTTAGGCAGTATCTGACATTCTCTCCCATATCCAAGGAAATCTAATTGAGGAAAAATACAGGTAATTTTTCAGCTTTTAATTAATTCACAGATAGTAAGTCAGTAGTTAATACAGTGCTTTTTGGTTGAAAATGTTATGGAATAGACCATTTATTTATGTGCTGTGCAGGTTTTGTTATTTAAATATGTATACATTCCCCAGGTGAAATAGTCTACATATTTTCTATGTTAATTCTATCTTAATTATAGCTTATATCAAAGAGGTTAGTGCTGTTAATATCAGATTTTGTGCATTTCCATAGGTGGTGGTATTTTTTTGTTTAATATAGACATAATGAATTATTTACACTTCGAATCTTTGCTTTTATTTCTCATAGTTATTTTACAGAGACTTATAGGAAAGAGTGCTTGGCAACATCAGTGAAACTGTTAGAGAAGCTCTGCAATGGGGTCAAACCAACATCATATACCCAGAATTACCCTGACATTCCTGTGGCATGCATGAATCTGGTTGCATCCGTTTCAAACTTTGTGCAGTGTAACAAGCAACAGGTACGTCAAGTGAGCATATCTTTTGAACCAGAGTGTTATAGCTTATAGTCTTATACTAATCATTCTAATTTAGGAGACCCAAGAAAGAGATGAAGAACAACGATATGTGAAAAGCATGGTGATGACTCAGGCAGTGAAGATAATGAGAGCATGGATTGCTCAGTCCTTTAAACAGAGTTTCCTTAACAATAGTTGGTTCTCAAGACAAGAGAAGACAAAGGAAGAGATTGAAGTGAGCAGTTTTGCTTTTTAAAATACATTTTTCTTTTTCAGTAAAGCAAAAAATATACAAACAGGGGATCATAATCCTTCACTGCTATAGAATGCTGGAAAAAATACGGCTTTCATTTTGCTGTATTTCACAGATGTGGAACAACATAATCTCCATCCACTTTAAAGATGAGGATTGCACGACAGAGTGGAGGCAGATATTCACTATGGATTTTGAGGGGAAGTACAAGCGGGTAAGTGGAACGTGTTTTTGGAGATTTCACATTCTTTTTTTCTTTTTTCTTTTTTTGGTTAAAGTAGCACATCTTTCTATCACTTTGTTTTTAGGAATCTTCCCTGGATCAAATTGAATACTACTGCACCTATATGGAGGACCTTAGTTGTTCCCATCCACATGTTGCAGCTAGTATTGAAAGGTGTGCTCTTGAGGCTGTTACATCTTTGTGCCAGGTATGAAGTCTTCTCATTTTCATTTACTTGCGTTAGTGTCATAGTGCGTGGTAATATTAGGCATATTTAAAAACAATACCAATGTAAATTAAATGAACATTAAAACCTTTTTTTATATCACAATGAAAATGTTTCTATCTTAATCAGTGGATCTGGGTTAGTTAGGTTCACAGTATCAAAATATATTTTACAATGTTTAATTTTCTTTTCTACATTATGTACAGAGCAAGAATGAGGGGAAACTCTTTGAGAGGCTGAAGATTAACTGGAAATTTGGGAAACTCATCTCTGCTATTATCCAAAAATCTTGGCCAAAGAACCATCAAGGAGAATATCATCAAGATGAAGAAGTTGTCCTTCAGCACCTCCTGTCTTGGACTGCTGCCAAAAACATTTTTCAACTCCACGGTATCAAATAACAAAAATACAAAACAATTAAATTTGCATCTGTGAACTCATAGTAGGAATCATTGCTGTAGTTTCTAGCACTGATGGGTAAATTCTGTCACCACAGGAGCAGATGAAAAGCTGATTGAGAAACTCTCTCAAGATGCCAAGGACAGAATTGCAATAGCCATATCCTCATTCACATCCGTGAAGAATCAACTGGTCCATGGAAACATTAAGATCAGCCTGCTCAAGATTATTTTGGGAAGGCGAGATGCCTTCTTAGAACTGCTGAAGATTGGTAAGATTGGAATTTGTCATCAAAGATATCTTGAGGGTTATGTTCAAAATGTAATAGTGTACTCTGACCTAATAGTAATTATAAAATTGAGATGTTTGTGTTTTTGACTTGATACTAACAGACTGCCTCGCTGAGAATGGGCAATACAAGGATCATGACAAAATGAAGAGGCTGTTGAAGTGCAGAGAAGATGAAGTAAAAGCTGTATATCATGAAAAGGAGCTTGTAGATGTTCTCTTAACTAAGAGCCATCAACTTGAGGAACACATGACAGGTATGTTGAGTTTGTGCCATCAGTCTTAACTATCAGTCTTAATTATTAACATCCATATTAATTTCCATAATAGTTGATGTTGCTGAACTGGAAAGAAACCAACAAGTCAACATTAAGACAATGCCTTTGAACCATTTCATGGAGGTTCATCAATTTGACCAGATGCCCTCCGAAATAACTGGTATTGTCACCTTCTTCAATCTGGACGAAGAAATTAGAAACATGGCAGAAGATTTATACACATTCAGGGACAGTATTGTCTTCAAAATGTGTTGGGACAAACAAGCCAAGTTCCTGGCCAATGAAGAAATGGAAGACAATCCTGATGAGCATCAGGTAGTGGACATTAGGGCAACACTACAAATGATACATGATGACATTTACCTAGATTGCTACAACCATTATAAAGATATCTACACTCGCCTGAAGGATGGCACTATAAGGCTTGAAGAGGTTAACCAGTTTTTTAAAGCTTTCAAGGGCAAGTATGAAGATCTTGCAAAAGACTTAGACATCATGTGCAGAATGAATACATCAAGGGACAAACAATGGATCAACAGCAGGGTTCAACAGATCGAGCAGTACCACGAACTTCATCTCGCTGTGACTTCAGCTCAAGTAATCATGAAAGTCAAAGAGACACTTGGTCTTCAAGGTGACTTCAGAGTTCTGGAGACACTCACAGAAGTTGTAAGTAGCTTTGTGTATAAAAAATTATCAATCTAAAAAGCTATTTTGCACTCCACGCAAGCTTTGAGTTATTGTATTTGATGATGGATATACATAATAGATGGAACATAACAGCACAGTTCTTTGCTTTACTTCATTTTAAACAGTTTAGCACATTTTAATTTAAGGCTCCCTGTGAAGAGTGTCTCTGATCATATTTCCATGGTTAGAATGTAACTCTAGTTTTCCTGTCTCCCCACCGCTCAGAACAATATAGACTTTCAGAAAGAGCCACTCAGCCGGATTGACAATGAGTTGATGCAGGCAAAGACTGTTCTAGTGGACATAACCGAGCCCCGCAGGCTGTGTCTGCACGAACTGGAACTAAGGGGACACTTTGTGAAATGGGTGAAGGATGCCCTTGAAGGTAAGTGTAGTTATGCATTTTCTTGTTAATGTCTATCCATTGCACACTACTACAGCCATGCTCCAATGGATATTGCAGCATGGCTGTAGTAGTGTGCTGAACATTTTTTTTTTAAATTTCCTTTGTAACTACTGACATCAGCAACTATGGGAGTGTCTACTGCAAGAAATAAATTGATGGACTGCACATATGCTTCATTTTCTTATGGCAATGACTCCATCTTACACTTTGTAATATGGTATAATGCTACGTACAGTTAGAAACCTCTCGAAATTAGACTGGTTCTCTAAAGTCACCAAAGAAAAAATTGGCTGCACAACACCAGGGTTACCAGGATTGTGTTGCAGGAAGCAGGTATGCAGGTTAGACAACCCTATATGCTCACATTTACATCCATACCAGTTTAAGATCACCAGTTAACCTACCATGCATGTTCATGGCGTGTGGCAGGAGGCTGGAAGACCCAGAGAATATTCACACAATCGCTGGGAGAACATGCAAACTCAACATAGAAAGGCCCCAGCCTACCAGCAGCTTCAAATTCAGAACAGTCCTGATATAAATCAATGTCACCAACCACTAACCACCACCCTATTTCTGCTTATTTAAATGTATTTTGCAGATATCAATGAGTTAAAAGTGTTTGTTGACCTGGCTTCTATCTCTGCGGGAGAGAATGATATGGACGTGGATCGTGTTGCGTGCTTCCATGATGCAGTTCTTGGCTACTCTTCATTACTTTATGAGCTCAAACCAGACTCTGGTTTTAAAGCCTTCAGAGAAGTGCTCAAGAAGCTCTGGAGGGCTTTGGAGAATGACAGCAACCTACCCAAAAAATTGGTAAGATCCCTCCAAACACTTAAAGCAAAAATATGATCAGGATGGCCATGGAGGCTTTGATATGAATGTTAGTGTCTTACAGCAGGGTTATTGAGGTAAAGGCTAACCTTATTAAAGGGAAACTGAAACACAGCACAATTATGAAGAGTATCTTTTCTTACAGCGGGACAGTGCACGTCATTTGGACTGGTTGAAGACTGTGAAGGACAGTCATGGATCAGTGGAACTGTCATCCCTCTCTTTAGCATCAACCATCAATAACAAGGGTATCTACTTGATCAATGCACAAAATGTAAAAAAGGTAAATAATGCAATGAAAGTTGATTGCATCCCTAGATCAGTACAACACACATGTTAGACAAAGAGTCTCCAAAAATATGCATGAGAATTTCTTTTTTCCCCCCTGATCTAGTTGAGTCTTGACAGTGCCCTGAAGCTGCAGATTCCAGAGGAGCATGATGACGGTCAGCAGATGCGCTGCTATTCCCTTGAGGACTTGAGGGAGCTGCAGAATAAACTCATGCTCATGTCTGGGAAAGGGGATCAAGGGCAATGTGAAGTTGATTATTTTGCAGAGGTACATTGCAATATTTTCCTTTTTGGTATCTTGAGGTTCCAAGATGTTACCCACATGAAAGCTAGGTGAAGAGGGTGGGGGACAGTAACAGTTGGATCCGGGTTGAAATGAAAAGGACGCCAGGGATAGGGGTTTAACACAAAATAAATCTTTATTATAATTAATTAACCCAATAATCAGTAACAACAGAAAGAGACAGCAACGCTGCTTTAATGATGACTTAGACAGGCCAATGCAAAGAGATGGTGGTCACTTAAACTAAGATAACAACAAGGACTCAACAGAAAAAGACAGCAATGCTGCTATTAGCAATAACCAGGCAGGCCAAACCAAGAAATGGAGGCCGCCGTCACTTAAGCAAAACCACGCACGGTGGGGCTGGTCACACACACAGCAGGCCTTTTCCACACCTAGACCAGACTCACACACTGACCAGCACAGCGGAAATCATGTCCTAAAGGAGAAGGCAGGGGCAGAAAGAAAACAGGGGAGGGGCAATAAAGAAGGAGGAGGAGAGGGAGAGGACAACACCACGCCCACACACTCCCACAGCCTCACAGGATGTAACACAAGAACTCGGATAATTCAAATAATATATTTTGTAAATATTATTTTAAATTGATAAAATTATCTATATAATCAATAATGCTCAATAATCCATAATGTCAAAAGCTAATATCTAGATGATCTAGACCTATTAAAATTAGGTCCTACAATTTACAGTACATGTGAAGACATGTCCAAAAAATCCAGATAACTCTCTTCAGATTTACTTGATAAAAATGTGGTGATGTATAGGTCAATTTTGGGATATACTACCATTTCAAACCTTTAGTGCATTGCATTCAAAATTTATAAAAAGAATGAGAAGAGCTATTTACTACATAAATGTGCAGCTATATGATCATAGACTCATGCTTGACAGAGAAACTGATTCCACAATGAAATTGGTGTAACTTTGTATGCTTTTTGAACAAATTTATTTACAGCTGACTTGTTTCTGTTTTTCAGGTTTTTGCCAGCGTTCAAAGACTAACTGAGGCATTCATTGCTCTTTACACTGCTGGGAATCCACTGTTTAGGCACTGGGAAGTGCAAATCAACTGTTGTTCCAAAAGTCAGGCACCCAGCATTATGATGGATTTCAACTTGGACAGTGTTATCAGTGTCATTGTGGAGGGCAGCATAGAAGAGAAGCTTCCTGAACTTTGCAAGAAAATGGAGAAATGTCTTGACTTCTGGATGGATTTTGTAGACAAACAGAGATCCCAGCATTACTATCTTAACTACTACACAGCTGAACAGATTGTCTACCTATGCAACAAGCTGACTTTGCAAAATGTTACCAATGTAGAAGACCAGGTTCTCATGATGCTCTCTTTCATCAAGCCAAACTGCACATACTCAGATTTGAGGGAAGTTTGGCATGAACTTCAGTATGAAATCCTCAAAAAACCAGAAGAGCAAAATGAGGACATTGAGTTTCAGACCTTTGTTGTGGTGCAAAGCAGTGAGGGGGAAGACCCAGACTTCACCAGCCAAATGGGTCCTCTGGCAAGTCTCGTAGAACAGGCAGAGGGTTTACCAAAATTTGATCACATATGGAATGCTTATATGAAAGACATGAGAAATTTTCTCCCCCACATTCTTGATATAAAAAATCTTGGAAGACTTTTGGATATCCTGGCCAACAAACACAACGAGAGTCACGAAGAAGACATTTCTGACGATGACACAGGGAATTTCATAAATAGACATGTTCCCAGAGGTCTGGCTGTTGGAAACCCAAACCTCATTGTTTGCCCACATGATGAGGTGTTGTCATCTTGCATTTCCATTTACATGAGCAGTGAAAATGAGACACTTCCCACGTATGATGAAGTCCTTTTATGCAACTCCACGACACCATACGAACAGGTGGAGCTATTTCTCAGACGCTGTCTCAGCACAGGCTACAGAGGACAGAAGATATACTGTTTACTGTATGGAGATCTCCTCCCTTATGATGTGAGCTCTAAAGCTGAGAACTTTTTTCAGCGAATGAAAATGCAGAGTAGAAAGGATTATAGACTTGTTATCATTTGCAGCTCAGAAAGAGAACATACCTACCTTCCATCAGCCTTCAGCCAGTACAGATTGCACATGGTTCCACAGGAACCTTTGGCAAGAATCCAGAGTTACCTGCAAAAACACTATGCCGTCCCAGCAGATGAGTGCAGCGCCGCAGCTGCGTTTAAGGACAGACTCTGCGTTGGTGTCATTTCAGCCACAAGAGCTGGTGTTGGTATGTATAGGTGTTATTTACTGTTACTAATGGTTAAAACGTTATTTATCAAAATTCAAACGTGCCATATGATCTTTTGAAATTGCAGGAAAATCACTTTACATCAGAAGGCTGTATGAAAAACTGAAGAGATCAACCAAAAAATCATCAGTGATGAAATGCATTCGCCTGATTGAGCCAAATGTTGATGAGAATGTCATCCTTCAATCACTGTTGGACGCCCCTAGAAGGAAAGAACTCACTGTGTTCCATTTTGACGTCACATCATCGGTAATCGGCAATCAATGGATTGTTTAACGTAATGTAACCTTTTCAATATGACATGTCTTTGCAGCGTACATAAAATGTGAAATGACTGTGTTTGTTTTGGAAAAGGTCCAGAAAGGCCTGCATGAGTTCCTCTTCAAACTGTTGATTTTGCGATACTTGCTGGACTCAGAGGGAAAGATGTGGAAGTGCAATAACAAGCAACTGTATCTTGTAGAGATTTTGGAGTCCACTGTGAAGTCGGGCAGAAATGTTTCACTTCAGGTTAGAGTTTTTATGAACACAAACATTCATGATTTGTTATCTGATTTAGAACTGTTCTTTACCTTGAGTTGTGTTTTTCTTTTCTTCTCGTATAGACTCAAAAAATCAAAAGCTCATTCATTGATGTGTTCCCAAATATTTTCTGCCGGCCACCCAAAGAGGTATTAATGTTAGAGATGAGGAAGCAAGAAGATCCCACCATTGTGAGCAATGATGACCCACTGATGGATGATGAAGAATTCAGGAGCGAGGCTTTTCAGAGACCATACCAGTATCTCACTCGGTTTCATAACCACATTAATCTAGATGTATTCACTTATAACAATGTTGAGGGGACACATGTGGAATGTCTTCAGATGCTTCTCATGTTTTGTGGCATAATGGATCCATCCTGGGCTGAACTAAGAAATTTTGCATGGTTTCTCAACCTTCAGCTGAAAGACTGTGAGACGTCTGTTTTTTGTAATGTCACTTTCACTGGGGACACACTAACCGGATTCAAAACCTTTGTGGTAGATTTCATGATTCTGATGGCAAAGGATTTTGCCTCTCCATCACTCAGCATTTCTGACCAGAGTCCTGGCAGGCAGAAAATCGATCTGGCTGGTGTCAGAGATGAAGACCTGGCTCCTTTTCTTATCAGGAAAAGATGGGAAACAGAACCACATCCATACATATTCTTTAATGATGACCATGTGTCCATGACCTTTATTGGTTTCCATCTTCAGCTCAATGAGCAGAACTTTGTTGATGCCATTGACCCAACCTCTAACAGGGTTATTAAAAGAAATGTCATGACAAGGGCATTGTATGAAGGCCTAAAGCTGCAAAGAGTCCCCTTCAACATTGACTTTGATCGCCTTCCAAGAGCAGAGAAAATAGAGCGAATCTGTGGTGTTCTTGGTATCCAGTGGCCTCTTGATCCAGATGAAACTTATGAGCTTACAACTGACAACATATTGAAGATGCTCGCAATCCACATGCGGTTCAGATGTGGCATCCCTGTCATTATCATGGGAGAAACAGGGTGTGGTAAAACAAGGCTCATCAAATTCCTTTGTGAACTCCGGAGGAGTGGAGTGGCCACTGAGAATATGAAACTTGTCAAGGTCCATGGAGGGACAACTTCAGAGATGATCTACACCAAAGTGAGAGAAGCAGAAGACATTGCTTCGATCAACAAACTTGACTATGGGTTCGACTCCGTTCTGTTTTTTGATGAGGCCAACACTACAGAGGCCATCAGCAGTATTAAGGAGGTCCTCTGTGATAAGACTGTAAAGGGGGAAAGTTTGACAGCCAACACTGGGTTACAGATTATTGCTGCATGCAATCCTTACCGAAAACACACAGATGAGATGATTCAAAGGTTGGAATCTGCTGGCCTTGGGTACCGAGTTCGAGCAGAAGAGACGGACGAAAAACTTGGATCTATTCCTCTCCGCCAGTTGGTGTATAGAGTTCAAGCACTGCCACCAAGCATGATTCCCCTGGTATGGGACTTCGGGCAGTTAAATGATCACACGGAGAAAATATACATCCAGCAGATTGTACAAAGAGTTGCTGAAAAAAAAGCTATTGATGAATGTCATATCAAGTGGATCACTGATGTACTTTCATCTTCACAGAAGTACATGCGTGCGAGAAATGATGAATGCAGCTTTGTCAGCCTGAGAGATGTTGAACGTTGCATGCAAGCTTTTGTTTGGTTCTATGACAACCATGAAATGTTTTTTGCGGAGCTTAAAAAGTTTGAGAATGATAGAAATGTTGAGAAGGATGAAATGCGTCCAAAATGGCCCGAGAGCCGAGACCCTGTTCTCTGGTCTCTAGTCATGGCCATTGGAGTGTGTTACCATGCCTGTTTAGAAAATAAGGATAAATACAGGCAGAAAATCAGCAAAAGTCTTCCAGCATTATACAGTCCATCAAAGGTGATGCAGGAAATCTCACTCATGCAGGATTTACTTTTGAGTGGTGTGCCAATGGGGGATACAATTGCAAGAAATAGTGCCCTGAAAGAGAACGTCTTCATGATGGTTCTCTGCATTGAACTGAGAATCCCTCTCTTCCTCGTGGGCAAACCTGGAAGTTCAAAATCTCTGTCTAAAACTTTGGTGGCAGATGCAATGCAGGGTCAAGCTGCTCATTCTGACCTGTACAAAAAGCTCAAACAGATCCACTTGGTGTCCTTCCAGTGTAGCCCTCACTCAACACCAGAAGGCATCATTAATACATTTAAGCAATGTGGACGTTTTCAGGAAGGTAAAAACCTGGATGAGTATATCTCAGTTGTGGTTCTCGATGAGATCGGGCTTGCAGAGGACTCTCCAAAGATGCCGCTGAAAACTCTTCATCCATTGCTGGAGGAGGGATGCATTGATGATGAGCCACTACCACACAAAAAGGTTGGATTTATTGGAATCTCCAACTGGGCGCTGGACCCTGCAAAGATGAACCGAGGCATTTTTGTGTCCCGTGGGGACCCTGACGAGAGGGAACTTATTGAAAGTGCTAAAGGAATCTGCTCCTCTGATGTAGTGGTTCTGGAGAAGGTCAGGGATTTCTTCCAACCTTTTGCAAGAGCCTACTTGAACATCTGCCGCAAACAAGGCAAAGGATTTTTTGGCTTACGTGACTACTACAGCTTGATAAAGATGATCTTTGCGGTCGCCAAGGCTTCTAAGCAAAAGCCCACACCAGAGGAAACCGTCAAAGCAGTGCTGAGAAATTTCAGTGGCAAGGATAATGTAGATCCAGTTACTGTCTTCACTATGAGACTGGGGATTGCACCAAACCTAGAGAACATCAGTACCATTGAGTTTGTGAGAGAAAACATTGAAGCAGTTGGACAGGAAGAAGAATGTCGATACCTCCTGGTGCTAACTAAAAACTATGCAGCCCTGCAGATCCTGCAGCAGTCCTTCTTTTCAGAAAGTGGTCAACCAGAAATTATCTTTGGTTCCAGCTTTCCAAAAGACCAAGAGTATACCCAGATCTGTCGCAACATCAACAGAGTAAAGATATGCATGGAAACAGGACAAACGGTTGTGCTCTTAAACTTGCAGAACCTCTATGAAAGTCTCTACGATGCCCTCAACCAATACTATGTTTGCTTGGGAGGGCAGAAATATGTGGACCTTGGACTGGGAACCCATCGTGTAAAATGCAGGGTTCACAAAGACTTCCGGCTAATCGTCATTGAGGAAAGAGAAGTGGTCTACAAACAGTTCCCAATACCTCTCATTAACAGGCTGGAGAAGCACTACCTGGACATCCAGACTGTTCTGAAAACCGAGCAGAAGAGGATGGTGGAGGAACTGGAGAAGTGGGTCCAGCTTTTTGTAACTCTCATCAGCCAACATGCAGCGGCAGCTCAGACATACAAATACAAACCCCCAGACGTATTCATTGGGTACCACTCAGACACATGTGCTTCTGTAGTTCTCCAAGTAATAGAGAACCAGAAGGACAGTTTAGAAATCTCAGATTCTGAGAGGAGAATGCTCGACGAGGCTAAACTCATACTGCTGAAATGTGCTACACCAGACTCTGTGGTAAGGTTGGACAGTACAGCCCTTCCTAAAGTGGAAAGTGAATATCTGGCCAGGATGTACTTTGAAGAGCAGAGTAACAGCTGTTTGGCTGACTACATACTTGCTCACATAAGACAGGAGGCCCATTCTTGCTCCTTCTTCACAGAGGTAACTAAATTTGACAATTTTATATACACACAAACACAAAAACATACGGTCTAATTGTAATTTTACACTTCAGGTGACAACATTCTCCAGACTTTTGACTGCTTTTGACCTCGAACCATTGGAGAGGATGTTGCACAGTGTTGAGCTTCTCTCACTCCAGCAGTTTGACACAGAGCACTCCTTCTTGAAGAAGATAAGGTTTGTTTATCGATCCATAATTTTACTCTTTTTTTTTTTTTTTACATTCACACAATAAAGTACAATAGAAGCTGTGAAACACATGTCCTAGTAAGAACGAAACACATGTCCTAGTAAGAACAGTGATAGACTAGTTGTAATATCTAGTAATGTAAACATATTACTAACTAATGAGACATATCCCTTTGTTACTGAATTTAAAGATTATTGTGATTGTTTTAACCTATTGGCACATTTTGACATTTACATTTTTAGAATATGTTTAGAAGCAAATATTGCATGAGAATAACTAAATATGATCTTGAGATGTGTTACAGTGTACAAACCAAGTCCTTCTCGTCTTGTAGGAACTTCCTCACAGCTGAGAATAAAAGCAGCAGCAACAGGGTCCTCATCGTCCAGAGTGATTTTGATGAAGCCAGTCTCAGCACCAACCTCATTGCATCTGCAAAGTAGGTCAAACACTTTTTTTGTGGGCTTTTAGCTACCATGTGGTTTGGCCATATTAACTTTTGCCGTTCATTTCCAGGTATTCATCGATTAATGAGATCAATAAGATAACCCAGGAGAACACAAGTAGAAAGGTATTTGTGTACTTCATCACCAGACTGCCAAGAATGGAAGGAGGGACTTCTTACATTGGCTTTCATGGCGGTAAGACTTATACAACATGGACTATATTTTTTATTATGTCGTGTAAAGAGTGGACAATAAGCTGAGACATGTTAATATTCACAGGCCCCTGGAGATCAGTTCATATTGATGACCTCAGACGCTCTAAAGACATTGTTTCCGACATCAAAACTTTGCAAAACATGACAATCAGTCAAATGTTTGAAACAAAGGCACCTCAGGCTGAAGGTTAGTTAATGATAAATCATTTATATAAAATTATGTTGTTGTCTCCATATATATTGTTCACTTTACAGTATTGTGTATTAAATTACAACATTTTTGTTAAAGCCATGGAGACTGATGACATGTACTCTGAGAGTGAACAGGAGGAAACTGTGCAGGAGGAAAATGTAAGTCTATAAATCCCGGCATGGTCATCACATTGTTTTCTTACATGAATGACATGTTATTTTATTGGGGATTAATCTTAACACTAGATTTTAACTATTGTGTTCTTCTTCTGCAGACTTGGGAAAGTGTTGTGGACACTACAGCATTGCTGAGGAGCTGTGTGCAGAGTGCAGTAGCCATGCTGAGGGACCAGGTGGAAAGTGGCCTCCGCAGTACTCGGAGAGTGGAGATCCTTCTGGCACTCCTGAGTGACAATGACGAAATAACAGGTGGTAACAAAACTTTTTGTCAGTACTTGTTGTTGCTTTTTTTGTTTTTTGCTTTTGCTAATGCTAATTATTCTATCTGAATTTGTCAGGTGAATTCCTACAAGTGGTGAAGCGGCATCTTCACTCATTGTTGGTGACTCACGACGGCAACACTTTCTCATCCATCAAGAGCAACTGGGTCTTCAAGGAGGCCTCAAACATCGATGCCTTGCAAGAAGGAGGCACCTTTAGGTGAGTGGTTCGGTCTTGTGTAATATGCAGTTTAATATACAGTATTATCCTATATTTATTTGAAAACCACTGTAAACTTTTTTTTTTCCTCCATTCATGACAGACACACCTTATGGAAGCGTGTTCAGGCTGTGGTCGTCCCCCTCTTGGCGCATCTAGTTTCGCTCATAGACCGTGACCAAAACATGGACCTCCTGCTTGATACCCGCTGTGGTGAATCTGTTAAGAAGCTGTGGTTAGATATCTTTGGCAATGAAAAGCTGCTGGAAATCTCACATCTAACACTAGACCACACGTAAGTGTTGTTAATAATGTAATTATTGTGCATGTAATAATGTGTAATAATTGTTTTGTTTAAAAAAGTACATTCTTGTACCTAAAGATGTCTGATGTTCACTTTGCTTTTTTAAACTGCTTACAGTTCTGAGACGAGAACCATCCTTGTACAGCACTACATTGCCCAAGATAAGAACATGAGCTGCAGCATGCCATTCAGCTGGAGAATTAAGGACTACCTGGAAGAGCTCTGGGTTCATGCACTTCAACATGAAGGTAGTGGTTTGTTTTAGCCACTATATAATTTATATAGTGATGTTGTGTTTTTGGTTTGTTAGTTTGTTTTGTTTTTACATTAAATGCATATGTCTTCCAGGGCAAACTCAGAAAGAGTTTGTTAAGTTCTTTTGGAAGACACCGCTCGGCCGCTACATAGCGAAAGCAGACCCAGAGATGCAGGTTGAGTTTTTCCAGCGCTACCTTCAGGATTTCATCTCCATGACAATGAATGTCACTTCTCCGGAAGATCTTCAGGTTTTTTGTTTTGTTTTTATTTTGGTTTTTCATTTGATGTTGGTGAGATTGTGTGTGACAGTATATACTAATGCATGTTATTTATTTTTCTAGCTCCTGTGTGGTGCTTTGAATTCTTGTGTTAACGAACTGCGGTTGCAGCTCAGTGACACTGAAGCGGTGACGTCTCTTCCGTGGGTCCATGCTGCATATCATGAGTTCAAAAACCGGCTCCAGAACCTCTGCAGAGTGATGTGCATTGTACCTCAGTTGACCCAAAACCTCCTGATGAATCCTAATGCCAGAGACGGGTTTGAACTGGTAATCCTTATTTACATAGTGTTTTTATTTTCTGTTTCTTTGAAGGATTTTTAATTTCTCATCAACAGTCTTCTATTTTTTTTTTTAAATTTTGTTTTGGGTTTTGTAATTATTTCTTTTTGGTTTTGTTCTCCTGTCTCCAAGGTACTCGATGTGTATGCTGGGTTTGCGTGTGTGGAGTACCTGGAGCCCATAGACTTGAACACAGATGCCCGAAGACAAGCCTGGCTCAGGCAGGTGAAAAAAATCCAGGTTGCTATTGAGTTAATCTGCTCAGAGGACAGCGTGAGACGTTACGGAGAGAGAAGCAAGATAATCGCCAAGAGAGTCCAGTAAGTAAAGCTTAAGGAAAAAATGTCCAAATCATCACAAGTCTGAGGTTTTTAGTTTGTCTTTAGGTAACCACTTGAGCTGCATTGAAAGGTTATTTGTTTTATGTCTTTTAGAGCTGGATGGAATCGGATATTTTCTCTGTCTCTGTTTGTGGAGCACATGTTGTTGGGAATAGAGGAGCTGGAGAAGAAACTGTCTCCTTTAGTTTTGGAGAACACTGGGCGGCTTGGCCAGGTGCATCTGGGTTCTTTGTATTAAAATTTCTTTTTAACAGTACAGATAATTACCATAAAGCGTTCTTCACGATAACCACAGTCTTTTCTTCACCCATAATAAACATGTATTGCCTCTGCTCTCCCTTCAAGATACTGGAAAAAAACTCAGACCTCAAAACTCAGGAGACGTTCGAGGCAGTAATTCGTTTGCTCAAAATCTGCAAAGATGGAGCCATCGAACGCATCTTCAGGTAAACATCGATTTTTATACATGTTGCGTGTTAACAGAATCTCTCATCCTGTACTTTAGCGCTTCTGGGCACATTTAGCATTGTATTTGGTTGCTTTAAGAAGGTTGTAGAAGGTACGAATGAACTGAAATCAAAGTTTTAATGGCCAAAAATTAGCATTTTCTTTCTTGCTGGAAGCTAAGGTACTATTTTTAACAATTTATTATTATATTGACCTATTTTAACATCTAGGGGCTTAGAATATAGAAGGAAGCACTGCAGGAGGAGGGCTGTCTAATTTCAGTTTCATATCATAGCTTTAAATAGTAATATTTCACTACCGAACATCAGAATTTATTGTTTGTAAATGTTATAATTGTTTTTTGTTTTTTTTTTCCCCAGGTTTGGTCTTACACAGTGCCCAGTGTGTATGGGAGACCCCCAGGACCCTCTCTGCCTGCCATGTGAACACATCTACTGTGTAGCCTGTATCAAAATGTGGTTGGTGCCTGGACAGATGTACTGTCCTCTCTGCATGCAGCCAGTTAACGATGACTTCCCCTTGGTTCCCTCAGATGATATAAGGTTGGTAACTATATGTGAATAAGGCCAACCTCCCACGTGTAATGAACAAAGATATCATTCAATTCTTCCCACACAATACAAAACATTTTGATCTGCCTTTTGCTGCTGTTTAGTTATGTTGCGTTTAAGTACCTTGTTTTTGATTAGATGTGTTTTGTGATGTGCTTTAAGACATCTGTGTGACTTTTGTAAATCTTCTTTCATGTAGGATTCCCATCAAACAACACACCCAGTTCAGGAACAAGTGCAATGCTTTCTTCATAGACCTGGTGTCGACTGTGTGTTTCAAGGATAATTCTCCACCCTGCTCAGCTGTCATTCTTCATTTGCTGTCATTTCTCATGGTGGAGCCCAGCGCTGTCCCAATACTGAGAGGTACTCTATTACTTTCTTTCCACCATGTATGTGAAACACATCCATGTGCGACTGTACAACTATATGTTTTGTTAGTTCTAAATAGATTTATGTATTTTTAGGCAATAAGCAGATTTTGACAAAGGCACTTTCTCCATTTGACGACTCTGTGGATAAAAATCCAGTGGTGCGGTCAGTAGTGCTCAAACTTCTTCTGAAGTACAGGTGAGGTCCCTTTTCTTTCCTCCCCTTTTTTTGGTTATTGCATGAGGTGTTATTATGTCTGTGCAGTGCAGTTTCTAATTTGTGTTTAACCTTGACTGTTTTTGAAGCTTTGATGATGTTAAAAAGTACCTGCAGCAGCATCTGACAGCAGTTGAGCAGAGCAACATCTTGGAGGAGATGGATAAAACTGAGCTCTACACCTTGTACATTAACTGCTTGGAGGTATGCGCTAACACACAAGCTGCATGTGGATTTGATTGTGGATTTGATTAAAATGCCTTTTTAAATGTTTATTTTTCTAGGATTCCATGTTTGAAAGGATGCAGTTCAGGTCCACTGCAGACCAGCAGGCATGTCTGCAGGATGAAAGCGCCTTCTTGACTGATTTCTTGCAGTCTCGTGATCAGCTTTCTGAAACGGCCACTGTAGAGTACCTGCAGCAGGTGGCCAGAGTGCGTATGGACCTGGATATGGCAGTGAGCATGTTTGTGGAAAAACTGAGAGCTCCAGGTGCGTATTTTTAATGAGTTACACACTCTTATTGTGTGTCATACTCCTACAATGTGTCAGGAATGTTCTCCTTTTTACAAACACATTACTTTGATTTTATTTGATACCAGGATCCCGAGAAGTTGGCCAGAATGGAAGCACAGCTTTCCTGACCAGCGTCATAGACTTGTGTAGGCGGAGTGGAAATGACTGGTATCGGGTCTATTTGATCCGTAAGATGTGCAGTCAGTTTGGAGTAGAGTTTGTCAAGAAGCTCCTCAAATCGGATCAAATGTGTTGGATCTTTCCTAAGGAAATTCAGCAAAAGGTTCGCTTAGCAACCGTTTGATTTTCAGCTTATAAAGAAGATAAACTCAAAGTTTTAGTCAAAATAACTCATTTTCATTTCACTCTACCCAGGATGAAGAAGTCACACCAATAGATCAGTATCTCGTGTGTGGGGAAGATTACAAGACCATCAGAAATGCTGTTGCAAAAGTAGTTATGGAAGCCAAACTGGATGGACTGGATGAGGCTTGCGAGGTAATGTTGCATCGTTTTCTTGGTGGAAATTCAGAATCAGGAATCTAAATTTGTGTGCATAATGGTGTGGGTCTTTTGCTTTGTCTTTATAGCGGTGCAAATGCCCACCACAGTGGAAAACAGTTTATCTTCTCTTGGCACTGTATCGAGAAGTCACCACTCTCTACAGAGAAACCAATGCGAGCTTCCATCCCAAGCCTGAAGTAGGTTTTCTAATTTAGTTACGCTAAATAAAATAACATCATCTTATCTTATTTTAGGTTATAGTTTTCTGTTTGTCTTCATTCAGTATTTAAGTATTTGTGTGTATATTTTTTACCAATAGCAAGTCGAGGCCCTGATGAGCTACATCCAGAAATCAAAATTCCTTCCCAGCCCGCAGGTGAAGGCCTTTGCCCTGTCTCTGGTAACCAACCAGATCGGGCCCTTGGCTCTTCGCTGCGGGGTCTCTGGTGCCCAGTGTGTGTCGGTGGACTTGGCTGTTCACTTAGCTGCTGTCTTGCTCTGTGGAAACCAAGGAATCTTGGCTCCACTGAAGCAGCTAGCTATGACACCTGCAAACATGCAGGTATGTATAATCTCTGTTGTAAGTGATCAAAACCTGGGTATATTTTTAAAAAATAAATATATGGAATGCATCTGTTGGTACAGGCGGCTTTCTTGCCCACCATGCCGGAAGACATGTTAGCAGTGGCTCAACAAGCTATGGGTCACTTGCAGTGGTATCGTAAGTATTATTAAAAAGACAAAAATCCTCTAATGTGATGATATGAGGTGATGTGCTAAACACCTTTGTCGTATTGTTTTATACTTTTAACACAGACTGTCCAAATGGTCACCCCTGTACCATTGGTGAGGTATGTTAGCTTCAGTTGGATTCATAATCCATTTTTAAAAAGTCTGTTTTTGCTGGTATCCCTTTCATATTTATTTGAAACTCTTTCTATTCCTCTAGTGTGGCCAGCCCATGCAAACAAGTCATTGTGTAGACTGTGGTGCAGTGATTGGAGGGAATAACCACGCACCTGTGCAAGGATTTCGTATTGTGCAAGTCCAGTAAGTGTCCTACAGAATTCAAGTGGAAAGAGGAAAGTAGCAAAATAAACATATTCATCAGTATTTATTTGTTTATTGTCTTCTGACAGGGGTGACCGCACTCAAACAGGCCACGTCCTCGGCGACCCCGGACGTAGAGACAATCCAGACATGCTGGACACCAAGAGCATTTCTCCCGTTCCCTTCACCATCATTCGCATGCTCACTCACATGGCCATGCTGCTTGGTTCCTGCAGCCAACCACAGGTAACACAAACAGAACGGAGTTTTTGAAAGTGCTGTTTTTCAGCAACCACAAATTATCCAAGTAATCTCCATCAAGGTAATGTTAAAAGCCTGTTTATAATCCACTGTTTGTAGTAAGAAAGGTGGAGAGTCATCTGCTTTTGTCTTCCTTCTAGTCTATTTCTGCCATTATCAAACCTCAAGTCCAAGATGCAGGAGAGTTTCTACTCGCTCATCTGAGAAAGGACATGAAACACCTCATCAGAAGTCTGGGTAAGGGGACAGACGACACAATCAGCACTGTTCACCTGGTCATCAACAGCCTCCTGGAGACACACCAGCAGCAAAGATGTAAGTAAAAGCTACACTAATACTGCAGCTCTCTACAAATATAAGATACCAGTGAAGTCCTGTGTCAATAATTACGGAAGCATTTTGATAACAAAGCTCAAACAATCCGATTGGACTTTGAATAGCTGTCCAGTATAGTCCAGCATAGAAGAGAGAAAGTGTGCCCTCTAGAGGCCACAAATTTGAGCTTTTAAATCAATATCTATAGATTTGTAAAGACTGAGAATAGTCATAGTAAAATATTTTTTAATAGTCTTGATTCTCCTTTCAGGGCCTGTTCAGTATGACAATCTTCTCTCAACCAAAGAAGCACGAAATGGCTGGGAAATTGAAATGAGCACTGCCATTATCACACCACATCTGAAGGTACTCAAAGTTTTACTCCTTTTTTCCCCAGAACAGTACAACTTGCCTCATATGTTTATACAAGATCTATGCATAACATAACATGTCACCTGCTCTTCCACAGCACTTGGATAGACAGCTAAAGGAAGTGAACACATTTATCCGGGCTGACTCTCGTATCTCTGCCAGTCCAATCATGAAGCTAATTTTTGGAGATCCTCAGCTCTTCTTGGCTTCACTTCCTCCAAAATCTCTGATCCATGTTTCTGCCGTGTGGAGCTGCCGGGAGAAAGTGTCTCTGTTGAGCCTCACCCACATTGTGGAGCAAAATGATGGCAAAGACACCTTGCCGGTCCTCTGGAGATTCCTCCATAGGGTGAGAAAATGACAACATAAAATGCATTTGTAATGTTGAAGAAAGGACGAAAAAAAAATCTGTCGGTGATCCTCCTACATTGTGTCATCGACTGCATTGGGTTTAATCTGCTTCAGAGCTTTTAATCCATATCCATCAGTATAGTTTCTGTACTTTTTGTAAGTGCGTTGTTTTTTTTGTTTTTGTTTCCATGGATCCTGTATTTCTTTTCTTTTTTTTTTTTTTTTGCCAAAAAAAGACTATATTGAAAAAAACATATATAACATATACAAATAAGCAGCTCTTACAAGACAAAGTTCAACCACAGTTTCCCAAAGAGTACGTAACAGGAATTTATCTGAAAACACTACTACTATCATTATTATTATTATTATTAATATTACTGATTATTTATTTTTAGGAAGCAGAAATCCGACTGGTGAAGCACCTTCCTGAAATCCTGGCACTCCAGAGGGATCTAGTGAAGAAGTTTCTGAACATCGCTGAGCTAACGGAAGGCAGCATCGCTGAATTTCTCGGCAATCAGAAAGCAGGTATTGACTTAACTGTCTACATCAGTGCTTCTCAGCCTTTTCAACTACGTGACTCATGCACAAGAGATACAAAGTTCCATGCAACTCCTAATTACCTCTGTTCTCGGAAATGTCATGGTTAAATAGCTGGCAGAATGCAATTTAAGAACCTGCCTGCCAAGGAGTGAGTTGTTTTAACCTGGACGGAGACAATGATTGATTATTCATAAAGAGGAAAATCTCTTCCACACGTGAACGCCGCTGATGTTGATGTTCTAATTTTCTGTACCATGTGAACTGCGGGTCTCCTGTGCGGCTGACATCTTTACACTAGGGATTAATTATTTGATTTCTTCTTGTATGCAGTTTCACTCAAAACCTGGTACGAAAAACACATCAGAATCTTCCTGGCAACCTGGAATCAGCTCAGAGTATCGCTGGCAACCAATGGTAAGCAGCCAGCAGTACTGTTACACCAGCGCTGACCTGTCCAACGTCTCGTTCTAACGTCATTTTAAAATGTTTTCAGGTGAGATTAAGATCCCGGCTGAGTTCTGCCAGAATGACCTGGACCTCAACAGTGACTTCAGGGTGCTGTTGCCACGGCGACACGGCCCAGGCCTGTGCTCTACAGCTCTCGTCAGCTACCTAATTGCACTGCACAATGACATTATATACTGTGTGGACAAGCACACTGGAGAGGAGACCAGGTGGGGGCGCTCATGCCACACTTTTCTCACTTGCGTATGCTTTGGCTTTCAGAAGACTGTGTCTGAAGTTGTTCTACACTTCATACGGCATGTTTGCAAAAAATTATTTTTATATATATATATA